TCACTCTCATTATTAAATAAATAAAATGTTTAATTTTATCAAATATGTTCAATTTAATTAGTTAGTTTATACACACTCATAAATTAATTTTATCAAACACAACCAATGTATTTGATACAGATTGTTTATTTATATTTATCTTGAACAATCATTTTTGTGATTTAGAGGAAAAAAAAAGGAAACTTTGGATGAATTTTTTATTATTATTATAAACTAGCATTTTAGTATGTGCAATTTGTATGATAATTATTTATTTTATATAACTAAATTTATAATAAATAAATATTTTTTATTATGTATTATATTGTAATTAAAAGTTGTAATAAATATATAATTTAATCATATAAATTATATTTATATTTATGATAAATAATTTATATTAAAATACAAAATTATTTTTAACTATTAATTATTTTTATAAAATATTAAATAAATATAAAAATGATATATTCAAAGAGATAAAGTGTTAAAAATTTATTGAAGTAAATATAAAATAATGTAGAGGGATATATAATATTTGAATGTTGAAGATACAATATGTTTTTTTATTTTAATATTCCGTTACTATTTGCTCGATAATAGGTTATTTATTTGATATGAAAAGTAAAAGATATTAAAAGTTAAGTATAAAATTCAAAATTTAAAAAAAAAAGTGAGAAATTGAGGAAAATCTCCGTAAATATTTTCGTTAAAGAAAATCAATTTAAAATATTATTGTTAAAGAATAGTTCCTAAAAGTAATTTTGAACTTAGAAAAGGATTTTTACCATTAATTTTTTTTTATTCACTGATTTTTTATGAAAGTGTGTGTGTGTTTATTTTTAAGTTTGTATGAAAATGCTTAAGGGCTCGCCTGATTTCCTTTTTCTTTTTGACAGCTATTTTATTTCTAAAAATAAAAAAAATGTTTGGAAAATAATATTTTTCAATTCTTAAAATTAAACATAATAAAAATTTTAAGTTGTTTTAGTTGGTTTAAATATGTTTCTAGTCTCTTAAATTTAAGACAAATTTATTTTTGATCCCTCAAATTTAAAATTATTATTTTTAGTTCTTGTAATTTTCAAAAATCTTGTTTAATTTCCTAAAATTACCAATAATATATTTGAAAGTGACAAATTAAGACGGTTATACAATATCAACTAGATTAAATATGATATTTTCACTAACGGAGACATCAATAGATAGATTTTATGCAATAATATTTGATAAATTTTTTAATAAAATTTGAATATAAGGACTAAAATAAGATTTTTTGAAATTACATAACTAAAAATAATAATTTTAAATTTAAGAGATCAAAAATAAATTTATCCTAAATTTGTGGTACTAAAAATATATTTAAATCTTTTTAATTTTATTTTCAATTTCTGTCACTCATATTCTCTTCCTCTTAAATTCTAAAAATTAACTAGATTTTAACTAATAATATCAACATGATTTGACACATAAGTGTAAATTAAGCATAAATAAGTTATTTAAAAAGATATTGAATTATTTCATTAATATGATTTTGGAAAAAATCACACACAAAAAAAATATAAAAATGAGATCATAATACAAAACATATCATAGATAAGATTGATGGATTATTTTTGTATTTATGGTGATATTTTTTTAAAGATGAATACGATATCTTATTATACATTGAAAATTTATATATCTTTGATATTATTGTTAAGTCTTAATTATACATCTTTTTGAATGAGAATTATTGTACAACTCTACTCATTCTTAGCACCATTGCAAGATAATTGTCCCCTTTTTGACTTATCTTTTGTGCAGATATAGCTAACCCATTTTAGCTAACAATACCTTAATACACCTCATTTTTTTGTGCAGGTATTGAGCTAGAGATTAGAGGATTGAAGATCTTTTGGATTGGAAACATAAGGAGCCAAGGAGCAGAGCAGAGTGGCTGCGCCGGGCGCAAGATGACTCCGCGCCGGGCTTGAGAAGAACAGAGCAGTGGGCTTCTAAAAGTCATACACGCGCCGGGCGCGAGACTCCACCACGCCGGGCGTGATCGAGGCAGAGAGTACCTCAATACTCTCTGGAACGAATTGCGCCGGGCCTAATAGAGAATTGCGCCGGGCTTGATCTAAGGCAGAGAATGCTTGAAAGGCTCTGGAAGACACTACGCCGGGCGTAAAAGTAATTGCGCCGGGCTTATAACGAGGCAGAAAGTGCTCAGAAGACTCTGAGCCGGGCGCGAAGACTTAGGCGCCGGGCGCGAAACCCTAATCTGACCTCCCAGGCTCGTATTTGAAGCCATTTTCGAGGGTTTCTCCCTCATCTACACATTGGGCGCGTTTTGGGAGCTGTGGAAGGGATTCCCGGAGCTTGGAGCCGTTCGTGTGTGGGTCTTTCCTTCGGTTCTTCATTTCTCCCTTCATCTCTATTTTATATTTACCCTCTTTGTTGAGTGGTTTCACCCATTTTTGTGGGGTTAGATGTAACCAACGAATTCTATTGTAATCCTTACGGTTTTTATGATATATATACATGTTGTTTCATTCATTGTTGTTTATGTTTCTATTCTTAATGCTTGCTTTGGATTTAATCTCATTGCATGATATAGGTTCCATTGGGTATTGGAAAATAACCCTTGAAACTAGCTCTGAAACAAATGCCTAGTGGGAAATGTATCTAGGAATGGAGCTTAGCCCATTAGTAGTCTTAAACCCTAGCCCGTAATGCGGATGTAGATATTGGGTACTCAAGGGATTGATATTCAATATCCACATCTAGGCTCTTGCTCTAAGGGATTAGGTTTGAGTAAACTATTGGGTTGACTAAGCAATGAATTTAACAAGAGATTAAGGATTCATTAGTTTGACGTTTGGTGAAATCTGACCCCACAATCTCACAAAACCATAAAATCATTTCTACCCTTTCCACTCACAAACCAATATTTATTTACAGCTTTCATTCCAATAGTCTTAACCTTGAATTCACATGACAAATTATGAAATTGGAATTATTTTTTAGTCACGAATAGTCAATAAATGCTTATTTTACCTTCTAATCCCTGTGGATACGATATTTTTACTACTTGAACGGCCGGTATACTTGCCGTGTTTGAGACCGTTGATAGAATTAAACGAAATTTCAATTATAACAAAAGTACTTCAACGGAAACCTCAACAATTATACATTGTTGATTTTAGATTTAAATTGTAAAAAAATCTCAACTAATAAAAATTATATATATATATTTATAAACTTATGTTAATCTTTTTATCTAATAAGTGATACTTTATTTATATATTTCAACGATATCAATAGTGAAAATACATATTTAACATTACATTCTTTTCCTATTTTTATGGAAATGGTCTTAAAAAAAGTGTTGATTATATATAATATAAAAGTAACACTTTTATATATGGATAAACATGAAAATCTTTCTTCAATTGGTATCATATATCAAGGAACAATAACATTCTTCTTTTGTGAGAGTCTCTCTCACAAATTTTGAACTCATATTTTCTTATTAAATACATGACTCCTTAATTTAAGTTGAGATAATCCTTCTTCTCTTCACAAAATCCATTACAGTGGTAGATGTAGTTTCTACCAACAACAATAAATAAGTGCCATTTAATTAGCTTACACGTTTCTGAAAAACTCTATCTGTCTCTTCCGA